CTGAAGCAGGCTCTGAACTGACAGCAGAGAGCCCAATGTGGGGTTCGAACTCATGAACCATGAGATCATGACCTGAGCCAAAGTCAGACGCACAACTGACTGAGCCGCCTAGGCACCCCCCCCCCATCTTATTCCCTTATTCATACAGCCCTATGAGTGGCCACCCTTTTCCTTTGTCAGTTCCTGAGTTCTAATATCACCCTCCCCATCTCCCTGGAACAGTTTGGGAGAACCAGTGTCGGGTCACCACATAAATCCCTGCAGCTGCTCACGGCGCTGTGCTTGTGAAAAGTAGCCTGGGCTCAAGTTCAGGACTACCCTCTGGGTCTGTGCCCTTGTGGACGGAGATTTGGGGCTTGTGTCAGTTTTCTGTGGCCACCGTAACAAATTACCACAAACTTAGTGGCTTGAGACAGCATTCGTTTGTTCTCTTACAGGCGTGGAGGTCAGAAGTCCAAAATCAGTCTCACGAGTCTTTTGGAGGCTCTGGGGGTGGAGAGGGGCCTGTTTCCTTGCATTTTCGGGCTTCTAGAGGCGCCCGTGTTCCTGGGCTCATAGCCCTTCCTTCAGCTTCAAGGTGTATCAAGCTCCTCTCTGCTTCCATCACGCCCATGCCTTCCCCCCTTTCTCTAGTTATACCTTCCCTAACCCCCTTCTTTGTAAGAACTCTTGTGGGGGCGCCTGGGTGGCTCAGTCGGTTCGTTCTGGTTATGCTGGATCCCAGACCAACTTTCTTGCTCCAGGTGCAACATCTGGCAGCTGGGAGCTTCCACCTGTTTGCCTGCTATGCTCTTGTCTGCATGCTCTCCATGTATCAGGTCTGCATCAGGCAGAGGTCTCCCTACGTCCCAGAGTCTGGAGCCCTGGATTGATAGCCTGGCTCTGCAGGGGCCAGTGACCAAGCTCATTGCCCTTCCTGGGCCCCTGTGGGCTCCCCTGTATAATGGGAATCGCCCAGCTGGCTCTGCGGGCTGTTGGCATGAGGGCCACATAGAGGAGCTCAAGAGAAAAAGCCCCTCATAATCTGCAGAGTAGTGCCTGAGATCGCACTGAAATTGCCAACTGTCCCTGCCTGCTTCTGAGCGTCAGGAGCATATGTGTCACCCGTTTGTGTGGGAACTCTGTGAGCTGGGTACTGTTAGCATGCCTGAGAGGTGCCACAGCCAGCTCCAGACACCCGTTGGTGATCTCCCCAAGCCCCCTTCTCACAGGTGGAAAGGACCCCCCTTTCTCCTGAGATTTGAGCCCCCCCCCCCACATTTCCCTCTCTTAGGCTTGGCTCGGGCCACCCTCGGTCCTGGGTTCTGTAAACCCTGGACTCCCACCCTGCTCTGGCTGGAGCTTCATGAGGGCAAGGATGGCTTCTGGGTAACTGTCACCTCCCTTATTTCCACACCTTGGACAGCGCCAATCTGGCTGAGCAAGGGGCAGCAAGGATTTGAAAGGGTGGAGGAGGGCACAGAGAGCCTCGGGAATGGACAACAGTGTGTTGGTTTATGGGCCCCGGATGATGTTGAGCACTCGTGATGAGCCTGGCTTGGTGCCGAGCTCCGGGGCTGAGTGGGCTCTCTGAGCGGTGCATGTGAAGGATGCAGCTAGCTTCAGATGTATGGTATGCGCTCAGCTACTGCCGTGCTCATTCCTGCTGGGCCACCTGAGCCCTTGTATCCAATCCTGGGGACGGGCTTCGTCACTCCTATTTCACAGGCATGGGAGTGGAGGCCCAGAGAAGTCTAGCACCTCGCGTAGAGTCACACAGAGAGTTGATTGCCCTGCGAGTAGCCTCTCTTGGCCTCTCTGACCCGCAGTTCTCCTCTCCTCCGGCAGGTGGCACTAACAACAATGGCGGCGGCAGCAGTAATCATAACATAGTAGACCTTCCGGGGCTGTCCTGAGACCATTAAAGGGAGACCATGCGTGTAAAGCCGACACTTAGCACGGGGTTTATCCTTGAGCAGCATGGGACAAGCAGGCAGGGTGTTTATGAGGGAAAGAGGAGGAAGGATGTGGATGGTGCGCCCCCCCCCCACCCCCACCCAGCGATAGGCTCAGATGGCCCCATGGGGACTGGGGGGCGGAAGTGGTGGTTCAGCACGGTTCCATGTTGAGCCGGCAGGGCTGGATCAGCCATTGGATCTGGGCAGCCCCGGGATTGCAGCTCAGAGGACCCCGAGGGGCAGAAGTCAACCTGTGACGGCACTTCCCTGGGTGGGGATGGGGCTGGGACAAGGCTTCATCCATCCCATGGTACTCACCCACATGTGTAGACAAATGCAAATATCTGGTGTATTGGGGATCCCCAGGACCACCCCCCCAGGCTCAGGTATTCATAAGGAGGACCCACAGGCCTCAGCACATAGTTGGGCCACAATGCATTTCAGCAAAAGAACACAGAGCACAGTCAAGGGAGGGGAAAGGCCCACGGAGTGACATCTGAGGGGAGACCAGCACAATCTTCTGAGAGTCCCTTCCCCGGGGGCTCCCGGAGGATGCACAAGGAAGTGTGACAACACACGTGAAGTGTTGTCTACCAGGGACGCTCCTGAGAGACCCAGCACCCAGTTTTTTTTTTTCTTCATATGTATTTATTTTTGATAGAGAGCATGAGCAAGGGAGGGGCAGAGAGACAGAGGATCTGAAGCGGGCTCTGCGCTGACAGCAGTGAGCCTGATGTGGGGGCTTGAACTCACAAACCACGAGATCATGACCTGAGCTAAACTCAGACGCTCAACCAACTGAGCCACCCAGGCATCTCATACCCCAGGTTTTTATTGGTAGCTGGTCACTTAGGCACACTCTGCCTGGAACGTACCAACGTTCTAGACTCCCAGAAGGAAAGCAGGTGTTCAGCATAATAGTTTGGGCACAGGGGGCCCCTCTGCTTGGTTCAGTGATGCTGGAACCCTCCTGAAATCCAAGTACCCAGACACCAGCCATGGACCACCCTTGCAAGCAAGCCTTTCCAAGGACAGAAGTCAGGCCTGCTTGGTAATAACCCTTTTTGTGTAGCTGAATATTAGCAGAGAGAAAGGAGGAAAAAACAGAACTTTTCCAAGACCTAGGAAGGAACAGGTCTTGAAAGCCAAGAATGCACTTGACAAGCGGAAGTGTTGCTTGCTCTTCACTGAGAAGTTTCAGGACTATGACTTTCACTTTCCCTGGTGATCATAACTTTGTTCGTTTTGTCCACCCACAGCTGAGCCTGTCTCCACCTTCACCTGCAAGTCAAGTCCCCAGAAACAAAGATTCTCGCTTAAACTAGTGAGTGTCCCTGGGGGGCAGTCACAAGGGGAGGGCCTGGGGCTTGGGCACCACTGACCTCCAAGCCCCCTCTGAGGGCTGGCACAGGCAGGAGAGCTCCACCTTAGCCTGCAGGGGGCAGTGGGACCTTGGGTGGGGCACATCTCCCTCCAGCCTCAGGTTCTTTATCACAGGGGACCTGGGAAGCTGCAGTCAAGTTCTCCCTGAGCCCTGGTTCTGGTGCTGTTGGGCTGTGCAGTCTGGAGGGGCTGAGTGTCCTCACCCTTGCAATGAAGCCACTAGTACCCACATTGTGTGGCCCACTTGCCCACTACCTGTCTGCCTCATAGCATGTATTTGTTGAGCACCCACTGTATTTCACTGTGCCGGATGTTGGAGTCCATCAGAGAAGCAATCTGATGGGGTCCTTGCACTGAGGAGTCCATGAAATCTGATAAAAGGGTATCGTCTTGGTTAGTAGCCTCGTCATCTCTGAAAGCTGGGATTGTAGGTGACTTTTATTGTCTTCCCTTCATTTATTCAGATTTTCTCACCCTTACCCCCCCCCCCCCCCCCCCCCCCCCCCCCCAGAATACTGTGGCAGGCAGTCCGGGTGCCTTCCCCTGGCCCTAGACAGAGACTGTGTGAGTGGTTCAGAGCGAGGACTCCGGAGCCAGGCTCACAGATGAGTAATAGCCCCTGTTCGTCGAGAGCCTGTTCCATGCCTGACCCTGGGTTAAGAGTCTCACAAGCAAGCCTGTGAGCTGGTTACTCTGTTTCCCCATTTAATAGGTGAGATAATGGGGACTCATCACTGGCCCAGGGGCAACCAGCATGCAAGTTGCTTTCTTCACTGCTGTATCTCCAATGCCAGTAGAGTGCTCAGCACATAATAGGTGCTCTGTAGAAAGAATGAATGAATGGCAGAGCTGAGCTTTGAACCTAGCTCTTTAGCCCTGTGCTCTCAAGAACCCAGCTGTACTAGTTGTGTTTAATTAAAATACTCAGTTTGCATTGTAGAAAAAATGATCCGGTATTATTAATGGCTTCAGCAAAAGTAATAGTTTACTTTATTCACGTAAGTCTGGGGCAGTAGTCCAGGGCTATCACTGTGGTTCCATGAACAGGGGAGCCCACTTTCTCTCTCGTTGCTCCAACATGGGCGGCTCCACATAGGCTGAGATGGCTGCCTCAGCTCCCACCATCTCCTCTGCATTCCAGCCAACTGGAACAGGAGCGAAAAGGGAGAGCCTGCCCAGCCCTTTGAGGGCATAACCTGAAAGTTGCCCACATCTCTTCTGCTTACATCTCCATTGGCCAGAACTTGGTCACATGGTCATTCCTCACTGCCAGGGAGGCTGGGAAATGTTGTTTTTAGCTGAAGGCCACATGTCTAGGGAAACTTGTGGATCCTATCAGAAAAGAAATCTGGGCAATGGAAATAACATGTTCACATGCAGCACCCTAGGGGATTTGGTTCTGAAGTGGGGACTTGGTGATGGTTGTGCTGGCACTAACCTGGGGTGATACCTGGCCAGTAATGTCCTTGAAGCCCTTGTCTGAGAGCTTGCATTGTGACACCTTTCCCCCTGCCGTTCCCGACTAGGATGCCAAGGACGGGCGCTTGTTCATTGAGCAGAACTTCTTCCAGCGGGCGGCCAAGCCTTTGCAAGGTATTCTGCAGGGAAATGGACAAGGGGGAGAGAGCGGTGAATTCTTGGTCAGAGCAACTAACTTCCCCCTGAAGGTGTGGGAAAAGGCCCAGTTGCGCCCCATCACCCCTTGGGCCTTGGGCCTTGGGCCTCAGAGGACAGACACCGTGGGCCTGGAGAGCCTAGTGTTGAATTATCAGAAGTACCACGGCCAGTTGCTCAACGTAGTCATTACTTAAAATCGATCACATCAGCCTACAATCAACTACATTGTATTAAGAACAGTAATAAATATTCAGATACTCAGAACTCATCACTTCCTAATTACTTGTCTACATTGTCTATGACCTATACTCTCGGGGTTGTTTACAGCCATTGTGCCTGCTTGGTGAAAACACCGCGTGATGGCGTGCTGGCATCTCTTCCTGCCACACATTCTGTCACGTCAGATCAGTGGCCCGAAATCGGCCACGGTGGGAAGTGTTTACACCACGAAAGTTGGCAAACACTGCAGCTCAGGGCTGTCCCCCCCCCTGGCCAGCACACCCCTGGATCTGTATCACCCAACTGAGATGCTGGAAGGTGGGTAGGCATCCCAATGATGCCAGGACCAGCGGAGACGTTTCCTGATCTTACTAGTCACACGTGTGAATCCAGAGGTTACTCTGTTGTTCTGAGGCCTCCCGCTCCAGATTTGTATGTGCTTTCCGCCTCGTTCACCCCCTGTCACCCGCAGATACAGATGACAGCCCGAGGTCAGCGATGCCCACCCTGTCCCCACCCTGCTGTCACCCACTCGCAGAGGTGGTGTCTCTGACTGGGAGGACTGAGGGTCCTGCCTGGGCTCAGGCAGTCTCTGCTTCCGCTCTGAGAACGGGCTATGGGCCCAGGACCAGGTGGACTCTAACTTCTCAGTTCCCTGCCTCCCACAGTGCACAAGTGGAAGAAGCTGAACTCGACCCCCCTCCTGGCCATCCCCACCTGTGTCGGTTTTGGCATTCACCAGGACAGGTACAGGTGAGTCACTTCACGTGCCAGCCACCTCATTGGTCCCGTTCTTTCTCTCCCCGTCACGTGACGAGGCATGGCTGGGACCCCGGAGCCATTGGCTAGCCAGTTGCTTCTTTCTCCACAGTGTTGAGCCACGCTGATCCCCTACCAATCAGGAACCCTTGATCTTGCCCAGGACCGGGACCTTGTGGCCACCCAGCCACGGTCCCTCCTTGGTGGCCTGGATTCTGCCCCCCTGCCCCGGTCATCTCTCCCACCTCCTGGGATACTCCTATCTTCCAGGTTCTTGGTGTTTCCCACCCTGGGGAGGAGCCTTCAGTCGGTGCTGGATGACAACCCAAAGCATATAATGTCGGTGAGGTCTGTGTTCCAGATGGCCTGCCGGCTGGTATGTACCTAGAAGTTGCTGGCTCCCATCCAGGGGATGGCGCACTAGGTCCTAGATTACCAGTTGGCCTGTTCATTGACACATTCAACCCGTGTCTCCCTCTGCTAGACACCGGGGGCTAGTGCTTGACAGGCACAGGTGGGCACTAGGCCATTAGAACCAGAGTGACGAGCATTCCCAGGTGAGAGGTGGAAGAAGGGACCCCAGCCTTAAAAAGAGGGGCTCAGCCGGGCTTCCTAGTAGAAGCCATGAGTGGGAAATAGCAAGGTGCCAGGTGGAGTGGGAGTGGAGAGTGGGAGGGGAGATTTGTGAAGAGAATATTCCAGGCCAAGGATACAGCTTGGGCAGAGGCTTGTATAGGAGAGAGCAGAAGGCATTTGTTCATTCATTCATTCACTCATTCCCTCATTCCCTCATCCATCCATCCTTTCATTAAATATTTATCAGGTCCCTGCTGGGTGTCTGACACCGTCCCAGGGGCTGGGAGTAGCACAGACAGGGTTGTTACGTCTAGTGGGGGAGGATGATCTTAAAGTAAACAGTTTGACAAGCCGCAAACGTCCTCTGAATAGAAATGTCCCTCTGCTATGATGGAGGATAAGAGGACCCAATTTAAGTTGCCGGAGAGGTGGAAGTGGCCGGGGAGTGACGTGTTAAGAGTCCTGAAGGTCTACATGCTCAGTGTGTCTTCAGTGTGACATGTAGAGGGGGAAGGGGTGGACAAGGCGGGCTTGATGTGGAGCGGTCGGTAGCGACCAGATCATTCAGAACACCAAGCTGAGGACCTGGGACTCTTTCCTGAGGGCACTAGGGAGCCATAGGAGGATCGGGAGCAAGGGAGGAGCAGGATCAGCTCTGCGTGCAGGAAAGCCCTGTGGCCCATGTGGGGATGGACTGGCGGGGCAAGGAGACCGGGCGAGGTTGGCACGAGCGGACAGGGCCTGAGAAGAAGATGGGCTCTAGGGACAGAGAGTTTGTAGAACAAGCAGAACCTAGTGGAAAGGTAAGCCTTGGGGTCAAGGTGGGCTTGGGGATATATTCAGGATGTAACTACCACCCAGGTAGTTCAGTGTATGGGTCTAGAGTTCAGTAGAGAAGTCAGAGCTGGACATAAGAAATGCAAATTGCGGGGCACCTGGGCTGGCTCAATCAGTGGAGCACAAAACCCTTGATCTCAGGGTTGTGAGTTCGAGCCCCGCGCTGGGTATAGAGATTACTAAAAAATTTTAAGAACTTAAAAAAAACAAAAAAACAAGACATGCTTGGGTGTGTTGGCAGATGGGGCTTCCTAATGCTTCACTCAGAGTTAGGCTTAAACAGTCTTTCCCCTTCCAACCACAAGTAGCGCCTCTGACCCTAGGCCTAAGTGGAGATTCCTTCACTGGGCTCTGCCTCAGAACCTCTTTGTGTTAGTCAAGCTACTCATGGAGAGGCTGTCTTTCTTCCCCCAGCTGGATGCCCTGGAGTTCCTCCATGAGAATGAGTACGTCCATGGAAATGTGACAGCTGAGAACATCTTTGTTAATCCAGAGGACCTGAGCCAGGTAATAGCTAGGTCCCCTCCACCCTAGGGGCTCTCTGGGCTCAGTGTCTCATCTGTCTCAAAACATCCGTGTATTTCACCATGCTTATTGCAGATAAAGAATTGTTGTCTATCATATGTAAAGGGCTCCTTTGAATAAATAAGAAGAGATAAGCAACTTAGTAGAATAATGAAAAACGAATAGGAAAAGCAGTTCATAGAAAGAGAAACCCACAGGTTTCTCCCTAAATAATGTCAATAGTCATAGAAATGAAAATTAAAACATCCTGTTTTAAGAGTAGACAAAACTTAAAAGAATGGTTATCCGTTGCTAATAAGGATGTAAGGAAACAAATTCTTTATATACTGCTGGAAGTGGGAATTGGCCAACCTTTCTGGAAGGCAGTTTGGATATAGTCAGAATTTTAAATGGGTATGTTTTTCTGATCCACCAGTTAGGAATGTGTCCTATATGTATACTCACAGGCTTCTGCAAAGATATATGTACAAAATGTTTCTGACAGCACTGATTGTAATAGTAAAGAGGGAAAACCTTAAGTATACACTCCTGGTAGGGGTGCTGATTAAAAAACCTTTTAAAGTAAATTCTAATTACTTTTTCAGTTGCAAATGATAGAAACCTGATTTAACATGGCTTTAAAAAGAAAACGTTTAAGGGGTGTTGCAAATTGTGGCCCATTGAGTGGAAAAAGCCAGAACCTCGCTGGCTTCAGGCACGGCTGAGTGGGGGTCTATCTGGCTCCAGATTTTAATACCCGGAACTACTACTAAAATGCCAAAAACAGGGCACCTGGGTGGCTCAGTCCGTTAAGTATCTGACTTTGGCTCAGGTCGTGATCTCGCAGTTTATGAGTTCAAGCCCTGCATCGGGGTCTGTGCTGACAGCTCAGAGCCTGGAGCGTGCTTCGGATTCTGTGTCTCCCTCTCTGCCCTTCTCCCAGTCGCACTCTGTGTGTGTCTCTCTCTCTCTCAAAAATAAATAAACATTAAAATGCAAAAAGCTGTTGCGGAGGAGCGCCTGGGTGGTTCAGTCATTTAAGCGTCTGACTGTTGATCTCAGTTCAGGTCTTGATCTCAGGGTCGTGAGTTCAAGCACCGCATTGGGCTCTGTACTCGGTGTGCAGCCCACTTTAAAAACATGCAAAAACCAGGTGTCCAACAAGAGGTATAATGATGTCAACAAGAGGTATAATTTCCCTTTGTGGAAAACTAGAGCCCCTTCTGCATCCGTGTGTTTACCAGGTATTCAAAGAAAGCTATTCGAAACAATGCATAAGAAACGATTATTAGTCGTTCCTTCTGGGCATGGGTTGGAAGCTGTGGATGGTCAGTTTGGGTTCTTTTCATTTCACACCCGTCTGTACTGTTCGGCATGCACTTGTTTCAAATTGCACCCGTGATTGAAATCTCTGACTTAAGAATCCAAGCTCGTGACTTCCAAACTGAATGGCTTCTCTCCATGTCCACCCAGGTGATGCTGGGAGGCTATGGTTTCACCTTCCGCTATGCCCCCGGTGGCAAACACGTGGCCAATGTGGAAGGCAGCAGGAGCCCACATGAGGGGGACCTTGAGTTCATTAGCCTTGACCTGCACAAGGGATGTGGTAAGGGTCTGGAGAAGGGGTTCGGGACCATGGAGGTACACTTCTCATGTAAGGGCAGTTCTGGGTTTTTCACAGCCACGGACCGCAGGTGGCCAGACACAGGAGTCACACTAAGGGAGCCATAATGGGGATTTGGAACCATGAATGGGCCGTATCAGGGAGTTGGAGGGCAGCCGTTCAGCACCAATGACAGCAGCGAGTAGCTGGACACAAGGAGGCCCCCGAGTCTCAGAGGTTCAGGTTCGAGATCTGGTTTCGGCTTAGAACATGAGAGTTGCCCAAGAGTCTGGAGCCCAGGAGTAAGTCTGGACAGAGACCCAGGTATCAGCAGTATCTCAGGAGCTGTCAGCTGAAGCCCTGGGAGAGGAATGAGATTATCCAAGGAAAATGTACAGAATAAGTAAAAAGAAAGTACTTTGAGGAGAAGATTCCTTGAGGAGGTCTCAGCCTCTCTGTCCCAAATCCCTTGATGTCATGGCCATCCATGTGCCTGCCTGTGTCCTCCCACCAGACTGACCTCCCCCAAGAAAGGGGTGGTCCCTGTGCTTCCAATATCGGAGGGTCTGGTACAGTCAACTCTCAGTGTTTACAAAGATTGTTGTCTGAAACATAATAAAAATAAATCAGACAGTCTCCCTTACCTCCTCTATTGAGGCTGGTTTCATTGCCCATCCTTCTGGGCTCCCTCTCACCCTGTCCTGCTTCCCCTGCAGCTCAGGTAATCCCACACTGTACTGTGTCCCCATTAGACTGTCAAGGGCTGGGACCCAACCAAACTCTTGTCTGGGATTTAAGAAGGTGTAATGGGGCCTGGTACACAGAGCCGAGGACTCAGTGAATGAATGAAAGACAAGAGATGAGGGAGTAAGCTAGTGAGAGCGGGGATGGTAAGGATGGCTGACAGAGTGAACGAGAGTAAAAGAGACTGGTCACAGCGCGAGAGCAGGCAAATGAAAAGTGAATGAACAGACTAAAGCTCGTGTGCTTAGATGGTTGAGTCCATGAGGGCAAGGTTCAGTCAGAGAGAGAAAGGAAGCGGGTGGATCTGTCAGGGAGTAGAGCATTTGGACTGAGCTGCCGCCTCTTGCCCTCCCTTCCCAGGGCCCTTCCGCCGCAGCGACCTCCAGACCCTGGGCTACTGTTTGCTGAAGTGGCTGTACGGGATCCTGCCATGGACAAACTGCCTTCCCAACACCGAAAAGATCATGAAGCTGAAACAGAAGTGAGTCTAGGGGTCAGCAGAAGCCAGCACTGGCCTGGCACCCCCACAGGTGGGGCAGAAGCTCAGAACCCACCAGGGAACAAAAAGGAGGGGGAAGCAGTGTCCCACAGAGTCAAGGCCTCTGCAGCTCTCGGGGGTGTCCTCTAGCATTCATTCCAGCAGACAGGAGCGTGGGCTCTGGAGCCATGTTGCCTGTGGTGAGACGCCAGCCTCCCCACTGCAGGGTGTAGGGTGGGCAACCTAACCTTCACAAGCCTCAGTATCCTCCGTGGGATGAGATCTTAGCAGGGTCTATGGAAGGATTCAGGGGAGTCAGCTACACAGCACTCAGCACAGAGCCTGACCTGTAGAAAATGCCCACTATGCACAGGGCACCATGACTCATTCATACAAATGAAAAGCCTGAGCAGTTACGCCTGGACTCTGCCTCAGCGTCTGGCTACACCGGCCACCCGTGTCCATACCTCCTCTCCCCACCCTCTGCTTGTAAAACCCCCAGATCCTGCGTGTTCTGGTTTAGGCATTCAGCACCAAGGGCAGCGGTGAAGGGGGTAGAGTCGCTGGATGCAGAGGGAAGTGGGGCCATGTGAGGTTCAGTACCGAGGACCGCAGGCAGACACGGGCAGCTGGGCTCGAAGGGAAGTGAGCACTGGCACTTTGGTCTTCAGCACCAAGGACAGCGGGAGACTAGCTGGGAAGCGTGGCTGTGTGAGATTCAGGACCATGGACAGCCGGCATTTGGGCTCCGAGGGAAGGGAGCACTTTGGTCCTCAGCACCAAGGACAGTAGACAGCTGGACACAGGAAAGCCCTGAAGGTCCAGAGGTTAGGATTCAAGCCCTGGTATAGATAGACTGGGGGTGGTGAGAGTTGCCTAGGAGTCATCCTGGAGGGCCCACCTAGAAGATAGTTTGGCCATCCATGTCTGAAGGGCAGGAGTGAAGTGTAAACAGAGATTCAGACCTCATTGGTATCTCAGAAGTTGTCACTAGAAGCCCTAGGAGAGAAAGATTGCCCAGGGGAAGTGTGCCTAGTGGAAAGAGGGAAAACTCTAGGGAACAGCACTGAGTCCTTTTGTGCTCCTCAGTTCTTAATGTGCTGTGTTACTGGTTCACGTTGAGACTCTCTCTCGTTCTATTTTTTCCCTTTTATATTCCCCACTATCTTTTTCAACCATGGACACCCACTCAACCATACGTACTATATGTTCTACAGATGTTTGCTTAACTGTATTTGTTTCCTAAAACTTGCATGATGGTGGTGGTATTGTGTGTGTGTTTGACTGGCATAAATGGTATTCTGCTCTAAATCTCATCTGTTTTTGGCATTTTTCACTCAGCACTGTGTTCTTCAATTTTAACCGCATTGTCACATGTGTACTGAGTTGACTCTTTCTGACTACTGCTTCTCAATATGTTTGTGTAGATAGGTCTGCAACCTTGAATGATGTATGACGACCGTATCTAATTTGCATAAATGGTACCGAGCTCTGAATTTCATTCTGTTTCTTGCTTCCTTTCACTTACTGCTGTGTTTTTTAACTTGAGCTACGTTGCTAATTCACTGCCTCCAAATACTACTCGTGAATTTGTCTGGATGTATATGTATCCTTGAAAAATACGTGATGTCACTGTTGGGTGTGCATTTAATTGGCACAAATGGTACCGTGCCCTGAATCTTATATTCCCTCAGGTTTCTACTTAAACACTCCCCCCCGGGGGTGGGGGACTTCTCTCACCCCCACTGCATCAGGCTTCCTGCTTGTGCATGCTCAGAGGAAGGGATCTGCCCCTGTCACATTGGCCCGCTCCTACCTGATGACCTCTATTCGAGGCGAACATTTATCATAACACTTGTCTGTGCCAGGCTCTGCACCCATTGTTTCCCTGTGTCATCCTCAGAACAACTCTGAGGTAAGCTGATGATTGAGACACAGAGAGCTTAGGTAATCAGTCCTGGTCACACAGCTACTAAGTAGAGGTGCTTAGACTCACACCCAGGCCATTCGACTCCAGAGAAGTTTCTTTCACCTCAAAGCCATGTGGGAGGATGGAATGTTGGCACATAATTAATGTCTATTTCTTTTTGAGAGAGAGAGCAAGTGAGGGAGGGGCAGAGAGAGAGGGAGACAGGAACCGAAGCAGGCTCCGCACTGAGAGCACAGAACCCAATGCAGAGATTGAACCCACGAACTGTGAGATCATAACCTGAGCCGAAGTTGGACACTCAACCGATTGAGTCACCCAGGTGCCCCTGAACAGAGACTTACTGAGCACCGTCTAGGCACCACACTCTGCTCTAGTCCCTGGGGATACAGGAATAACTGAGCCAAACATCCCTGCCTTCAGGGAACTCACACCCTAGTGGGGGAGACAAAACAGTAAAGAGATAAATGAGTAAAGCACACAGCATGTCACAGGCCAGACTGGTTGGGGCCATCAGGTTGGAGTCCTGAGTGTGGCTGTGGGCACTCACTGCTCCTTTAGATTTAATGGCCAGGCAGGTCTCATGACAGTGGTGACAGGTGAGTCGCCTCCGGAAGGGTAGTGAGGCAAGGAGGATGTCTCATTTTGGCATATAAGGGCGCTTATGTGCCCTTGACGTCTCTGCAGGAGGAGGGAGAGACAGGGAAAGAAAGACCCCTGGCTCCCAGGCTTTCACAGGCAATCTCTGCATCAGAAGGCAGCCTCAGAACCCTCCAGAACATGAGCCCCTTGCCCTATTTTCTTGGAGTGTATTTTTGCCCTTACTCTCTAGTTTTCTAGTAGCTTTCCATTCTTGAAATGAAGCCAAGGGAAAACGAGTCGCAGAATTTAGGAACACGGCTAGTAGGAGCATACGGCCCAACTGCCAAGGCGTTACGTGTGCCTGAGGCCTGTGAACAGCTCCTTTGTGCGTTTCCGTCATGTTAAAGATAAGGCTGAGCTGCTCTTACCAGGAGATCCCAAAACACGATGGTTCGGACGAGGAAGATTACTTCCCTCTCAGTAACGGCACCTTGGCGCCCTTCAACACCCACATATCCTTTTCTGGCGCTGACTCTGCTGGTCACCGTCTCTCGCTGCTCTTACGGGGCAGGCCTGGGAGTGGCATGCATCCCTTGGTCGCATAGCCACCCAAGCTGCAGTGGGGGCTGGAAAACGTCTGTAGCCTAGGGCTGCTGACCCTTGGGGTCCTGCCCTTGAAGGGGAGAAGGGGCAGTGGACGGCAGCCGGAGACTCTTCCACGGTGCCACCTTTAGTCCCATTTCTGTGAGGGCAGGGGCCACACCAGCTCTCTTTGTCACCGTGTTGCTCACGGAATGGCCCCTGATGCATCGTGGGCACTCATGAAACAGTTGTGGAATGAACGAATAAGGAAAGAACGCGTGAGCCTTCATTCACAGGCCTGGGCTTCAGCGTGGACAGACAGGTCAGGCAGACGCGGTCCCAGCCGTGGGAGGCTTCCCAGGCTGGGAGGAGACACGGGCAGGAAGGAGGTGGAGGCAGCCCCGGGAGCATTGTGGGAGCAGAGGGGAGGCACGTTACCCGGCCTCAGGCCACTGGGTGCCTTTACCCAAGAGATTCCTGACTCAGTCTGTACAGAGCAGACGGCTTTCCCAGGCAGGCAAGGGGAGGCGAGATTTCTCGACAGATAGGAGAGCTCATACATGACCTATTCATTCATTTAGAACCTGTCTCCTGGCGGCATTTTTGTGCCAGGGAAATGCTGGAGACCCAGATGTGAATCAGCTGAGGGCACTGCCTGTCGCCAGTGAAATCACCCATTGAGGCTCCACTGGGTCGAATCCTCTGGATTCTCCGAATCCACTACTTCCTCTAACTCCCCAGAACAGCCCTATCCCCCTTTTCACATCTCTGCCACCTTCCCCTTCACAAGAGATAATCAGTGAACGGGATATGCTTCTCTAGAAGGCTGTGCACTTGCCAAATTGGTCCAGAGTAAAGAAAATAGGTCCAAGGGGCGCCTGGATGGCTCAGTTGGTTGAGCATCTGACTCTTGATTTCGGCTCGGGTCACAATCTCACAGTTCATGGGAGCGAGCCCCGTGTCGGGCTCTGCAAACTTGGGATTCTCTCTCTGCGTATCTCTCTCTGCTCCTTCCCTGCTCGTGTGCTCATGCACACTCTCTCTTGTTCTCAAAATAAATAAACATTTTTAAATAAAATAGGTCCTAGTAATAATTTTAACATCCGTGATTTAAGTATGAGTTCATTCCCGAGCCCCGGAGCCTGACCACAACCACAGAGGGAAGGTCTGAAACATCAAGAATCTCAGCAGGGGGTGGTGATGGTGGTGATGTGCTCATTATAGACGCTCCACCCAGCCCCTGTCCCGTGATTCGAGGCAGTGACAAAAAGGACCACGAGAGGGCGATGTTGCCACATGCACATTTTTGGAACCTGACGGCCTCTAGGGCGCCCTACTGGTGTGCATGGCCTTTTTCCGTTCGTTCAACATTTATTCAGTTTTTGTACATTCTAGTTCAGGATGGAATGAATGAGGGAAAGAAAAAGAGACGTTTTGATTCCTCAAGGCTTTCTGGTGTGCAAGTCCCTTTCTGGGAAAGCACAGGTGCTGGTCGAATTCGTTCCCTGCTCTTAAGGGTGCTGTCTGGGCAAGAACGTCCCACGGACACCGACAGCCAGTGGTAGAGTCGCTTATACAATTTACAACATCCTAGGGGCACAGACTTTGGTGCCATCACTCAGCCATTCGCCACACACGTCCTGAGGATGCCAGGAGACACGAAGGTCAGACCCAGCCCTTCCTGTGTCCTGACAGTGCCTTGGGGCGTCCGTGGACTATGCACAGAGCACACAGGCCATCGGGCGGGATCTGTTTTCTCTGCCTGGAGGGGTCATGGGAGACTTCCAGGAGACCAGCCCTCAAGCAGTGTCCTGAAGGGAGAGCAGCCACGGCCAGGGGTCAAGCTAGGAGAAGGCTGTCCAGGGCAGAGGAAGCAACATGCTGAGGCCAGGAGATGGGCACGGATGCTTGACCTA